GAAGAACCTGTTCCGGACAATGGTGCGTTTGTCCATACATCGGGAGATTGTGTCGTTGACTCCGGTGTTCGAGTTGTTGAGCGAGGCGTGTCCGTAGAACTGGATCCTCGACTCGATCTCGAAGAAGACGCTCCCGACGTAGGCGCATTCGTCCATGGCGCCTGCGTCGTTGACTCTGGCGTCGGCGTCGTCGAGGTAGGCGTGTCACTAGAACTCGAAGAAGGCGCATCCGACGTAGGCGCATTCGTCCATGGCGCCTGTGTCGTTGACTCCGGTGCCTGTGTTGTTGAGCTCGGCGTGTGGCTGGAGCTAGAACCTGTACTCGATTTCGAAGAAGATGAGCCCGTTCCTGACACGGGAGCATTTGTCCATACATTCGGACCCTGTGTCGTCGACTCCGGCATCTGCGTTGCTGTACCTGGGTTTGATGCGCTACTCTCACTCTGTGACGTCGGCGCTGTCGTCGCCGGCGTTGTGGTTTCTGTCGTTCCTGAACTAGTGCTGTCACTGTTGCCTGAACTCGGCGCATTGGGAGCGTCGGTCTCTGGTGTTTTAGTCGTAGCGCTGGGCGTCGCCGTCGTCGCCGTCGGACTGGAGTCTGAATCTGCGTCTGAATTACCACTAGAAGTCCCGACACTCGTGTCGGTGCTGGCGCTCTCGCTGGAATCTGCTAGACGAACATTTGCCTCGAGTTGTCGGTAGTCAAAGGCCTGCTCGGCCGTCACGACGTCCGTCGAGCACACCGCGACGGCAACCGCTACAGCCACTACGAGCGCTCGTCTCCTGGAATTCCATCGCCGTCTCCGTTCCATCCTGTCGAATAAGTTAGCGTAAATATCCCGCGCTGCCCTCCGCCTCGCTGTTTCCTGTATGGCTCTGTGTTCTCCCCCCTGTATTCCTGTTTGCCTGTTGCCTACTTCGTTCGTTTCTATCCGTTGTGCGCACTCGATCCGTCAGCGGTGCTTGTCCCTCGACGACACGAAAGATAGCACCGACCGAAGGCTGGCGCTGACTGTCGCGCGCGAAGGGGGAATGCTCGGCGCGCTTGTGGGGGGTGTCGGAACGCGCGGATAGCGACGGACTGGCCTTGTGGTCGCCACCATTTGCTCCGCCTCTACAGACACGGCTGTTACGTGGGACTTTAACGTCAACGTCGATATGACAATAGTTGGTATCAGACTTAGAAATAGGATAGTAGACCAGTACACAACCTTTATTTCGGACTAACTTTTTAGTATTAGTCGGTCATTTAGCACCAGCTATGGTCAACATAGTACCAACTTTGGTCTTTAGCTGCTGACTTCTTTCAACTGGGAGCGATTGGAAGATGGGAATGCAAAGTTCAGAGCATACAAAGAGCCAAGCACCACATGCAAGCAAGATGTTTCCAAAGAAATGAAAACGATCACTTTAGCCCACTTTGCAGTTGTCGACTGCACGATGTGTCAGTTGCTGGTCAACTTGCTCGACACGCCTGGGAGAGATAGCCTCTCGCTTGAACCACGTTTCCACCTAACGTTGCTTTCACTGTTTGAGCGCCGTAGCGCCACAAAGACGGAATCCGAGTCGGATAGCTGAAGGTCACTTAGTAGTCGGTTCATGGTATCCATCAGCAGTTTGCCGGTCTAGAAAAGGTGTCGGTGACATGGTGAAACGATCCAGGGTGGACTTTCCCCTTTCGGTATATGTGAGCAACAAACGTGACGTGCAGTCGCGATATTTGCGGGACCAACGTGGGTCCGCCCCATTCGGTTAGCACTGCTAGTTTAGTAGGCAGCGATCCATGAGATCATGCAAGCCAAATGAACCGAAATGAGTCGGCAGAAGAGCTACGTGTTTGTTTCTCGGTTGGTGGGATGGAGCAGATGCTAGGCATCATTTCGGCGCGATGTATCGCTCTTGGGGTCCTACAGTAATGATCGGAGGTTTGTCGTTACGATAAGCAACCTTGGATCTCGAAGCGTCCTGCAGTAGATTAATGTTTTCTACAGCAGTTCTACTGCACACAAGACTCGTCTGTATGGTTCCGAGTTGCATCGGTATCAGTAAAAAATAATTTGCACGACAACGCCAGCATCGAAGCCTTGGTGGTTGAATGGCCTTCTATTAGCCTAAAAGATCTTGTGTGCCGAATTTACATTTTGATCAAAGTGAATTGCTACATGCACTGTAGAGCTGACGTTGAAGTGATATCTGTGAGAACTTCATGAGATAAGTATGTAATGCGGCTCCGGGGGTGCTCGACTCTTTCTAGCGAAGGCTTAGAATCTGATCCCTTCCAAACTCGTCCCTTAAAGAGTCTTTATTGCTGTTTACGGTGTTGCAATTGTCTTCATAGTTCCTGTCGTGGACCGCGCGTACAAACTTCGGTGGCAGCCATATCGAACGTCCCAGAGCGTGAACCCCATCGCAGCAGCGAGCACAGTGGCAACGGAGAAGAGCACGAGCGCTTCGAATTGTCTCGGGTCGTGGAATATGATTCCTACCACTTGAATGAGCATGTAGAATAATTGGCACGTCGCCGTCTGCATGGCGTTGACGGCTCCACGGCGACTTGGTTCGATCCATTCCTGCATGAGCTGCGTTTCCGTGAGGTCGGCACTCCAAAGCCACATGCGTGCGCCAACCATGCAGCATAGCATAACGTAGTCCGACACACGCGATTCTCCACTCAGCAAGAATGCAACCAATATTGGCGCTAGACACAAACAGAACAGCCATATACTCAAGACTGCAACACACTCCAGTCGCGGAATGGTACGCCGCAAGTATGGGAACAATACGGTACCCAAAAGGCCAAATACCGCACCTGCACCACGGCTGGAGGCCAACAACGAGCCGGGTACGCCTCGCCACTTAAGGTACGCGGTGTTCAACGAGCCGTTATCCAGGACAGTCATGTAGAGTGCGCAGTAGGAAAAGCTGAGCAGGAAAACCGGATGCCTCGAGTAGTTTCTCCACATTCCAACATAGCGAGACAGAGTCGATTGATCGTCTGCTGATGCTAGCTCTTCTTCGTCGTTGGGTTGCTTCGAGCTCTCCTTGATAGCAAGCTCGGGGACGAGTTTGTAGATGTCTTGTGTCATGAAATACTCGAGCGGGGTGGAGAGACCGTTCCAGATAGCTACCGTCGACGCGCCGATCATGGCGCGCGTGGTAGGATCGCGGCCAGCAAAGTCCATGATAACGCCAAATGCGAGAGGCCCTAGCAGCTTGCAAGCGAGATCGATGCGCCGAAGGATGGTATTAAGACTCGCCAGTGCACTCGACGGCTCTGTTCCACTGCTTTGCGCGATGATCACGACCCAGTCGCGCTCGATGCCCAGCGTTTGAGCCTCGCTAAGTACCTGACCCACACCGCCACATATGAGTGTGCCAACAAAGAGAAGCGTTAACGGCCATGTCCACTCTGGTTTGTGGAATCCATCGGCGTCCGTCAATAGTAGCATCGCCCCTAGCAAGGCAGTGCTAGCGATTATATTGGCGTTCTCCAGTATGATGGCCAGTCGCATGGCCTTCCAGCGGTTTGCAGCATCGAGTTGTCTCCCTACAGACGGGATCACGATGAGGCACGAGGCGTACATGACGAGCGAGAAGCATGCCCCAGGTAGTAATGTATCCACAAATATCTCCATAAAGAGGATTGGCACAGCAAACTCCCACATGCGGTCACCCTGCATCAAAGACAACACTCAGTCCGACATACTTCCTTCCACGAGCTAGTAGTCAACACGTACCCAAGCAGAGAGCAAATGGCCGGTGTAAAGATACATAAGCACTCGTCGAGGAAGTTTGCGTGACTGAGACTCGTATCGCTCGTGCTCTTCCCTGCAAAACTCCAATAAACATGGCAAACGTTAGACATGATATGACACAAGATATTTTATCTGACGCGATATACTTGCAGCAATCGGGTCTTCTCGTGCTCTTGTGCCTCGCAACTGTCGAGTCGAGCTGCGCAGAGGCAGGTAGCTATTGGCATCAGCATTGATGCGCCGATGATGAGCATCACGATGCTGCTGGATCGTGTCGTGAGGCATGCGTTCTCCACATTCAGTAGACAGGCTGTTTACCATTAACAGAGCTGAGAGAGGCCAACACAGCGCAGAATTCGAGTATCATCATCATACCTGCACCATCTAGAGCCAGGAGCAGGCTGGCGACGCCCACCGCAGTGCAGACAAATACTGTCGGCCCCATCATTTGTGCAGGGGATGTCTATTCTAAATCTGATTGGATACATTTGGTATCATTTTTGTTCGGCTCCATCGATCGTGTAGACTCCATGATGGAGTTCATCAGGGAAGCACGGCGAAGGCGACGCAACAAACCGAGGATGGAATACATGTGCAGGCTTTCATAATACATGTATGAAAGCATATTTCATTTGTGCGAGTCATCTACTTGTACAAGTGCCCACGATTGTAAGAACAAAAATGCCCAGACAAAGCTCTTGAATCGCAAGTTTGTTCGATAGATACCTGCATCTCAATGGTTCGAGTTTGTACACCGAACTTCTATCTGGGTAGCAACCTATCTGATCTGATTGCAGCAGAAGCCGTAAGCTTAAGTTGATATATGCCGCGCAACTCCTGCGTAGGCAGCAGCAACAAAACATTAACTTAATTAAGGGACGCTGCCGTCTTCGCCGTTTGTCGTCGTATACAACGTAGTGCGGTGTCCAGTGGATTAGTGTTTAATATGCATTGCGTATTAGCGGGGCATTGATGCTCATGGCAACAGGAACCAACGCAGAGTGACGGTCGTTGAAGTCGGTCTACAAAGTTCGTACCCGATTATTGTGATATTGTAGCACTAGCCATGACTAGTGTCACACTCAATCGGGTACACATCTGCCCCACATCCCGAAGCCAGCCAAAGCAACCGGGGCAAAATGACCATGCGCGACTCGGACGACTGGGCGTTGCGTGACAACCTGCAACTATGCGGATCCGTGTCTCCCCCTACATACGCGGACCTGCGCACAGCCGCACACCTTCAGACCTTCGACGTGCGGGACGGCGGCGCGGCACTATGGGGCGACGGCGGGAAGCTTTTCCTGGTGAACGTGCTCCACCAGAACCAAGCCAAGGCACCGAAGGAGCTGCTGCTGAAACACGTGACGCTGGACCCGCCGCTGCAGCCGCATGAGGCTGCTGAAGTGGAGCAGGTCAAGCTCAACGCAAGCGGCTCGCAGATTCTGCTGCTGGCCAAGAGCTGGATCAAAGTGCTGCGATTACCCGCCGAAAATAAGCAAAAGCCGCAGAGTCTGCAGCGCCGAGCAGAGAATAGCAGCACACAGAGGTTCCTCGTGAGGTTCGAGGACGGCAGTGAGCAGGAGGTCACGCTCAAGGAGGACGAACTTAAGGAGCAGTCCAGTATCGCAGAGCAGGTCAAGCGGCGCGCGTCGCCGGGCAAGCGCGTCGCCTTCGTGTCACGCGAGAAGTCTGTGGCAGCAGTGAGGGCTGTGGGCTACTTCAGCAATGTGCGGCACGCGGTGTGGCACCCGCTCAGCGACACACACCTGGTGGTGCTGTCGGATGCGGAGGAGATCGAGGTGTTCAACACGCAACAGGACGTGTCTAAGCCGGAGCAGCGCCACCGACTGGACTTCCCCACCAAGGCTCGTGCTACGGGAGCTTTCTCGACGTGCTTCTGTTTCGGTGCTTCGATCCAGCAGCCACAGGCAGTGCAAACGCAGGCTGCGCAGATCTGGGACGCGTTCACGTGCTACGTGCTGCGCTCGGATGGCGCTGTGTACGCGCTCTGCCCCTTGGTGCCTTATGATTGCTGCATTAGCAAGACGTTCCTGCAGATTCTGAACACTGAAGTAGACGCACAGATCGCCGTCTGCAAGCAGAAGATGGAGGCCACCGGCAGCGGAAACGGACTGCAGTCCCGCCTCCTTGAGCTCAAGTCGCAGAAATATTGGCTACAGGAAGGCTGGGCGCCGGCATCCACACAAACGCGGCGTAGCAGCCCTCGCTTTGGTGGCCGAACACAAACGTTTCCTGTTGGAAGTGACAAAACTAATGCGGATGTGTTATGCTACCTGTGTCCTCACGTGAGCGGCATTTCACCTGACACGTGGCCCATCGCCCTGCAAGGGCCTGTGGATGTGACCCCCCAGTCGGTTGTGGAAGGCAAGAATCAAGTGTCAGGAGGATCTTCAGCGACGTCGTTGCTAGTGGTGCCTCATGCCTCGCGCAATTCGGCGGAGAAGCGTCCTACCAGCGCGTCTCCTTTCTTGATGCGCACGTTCACATCAGGTCACGTTGAGCTGATTTTACTGGACGCTCCTATCCGGCCGCAGTGGAGAAGCAATCGCCAGTCGGCAGCTGCTAATGCCACACGCAAACTGCCTGCATTGCTGCTCGAGTGTCTTAACCTTGGTATTGACGATTCAGGTGGCAAGGCTGTGCTTGAGCGGGACATTGCTGACCCGCGACTAGTCTATTGTCTGCACTCGACTGGCGTTCATGTGATTAATGTGAGTTGGGTGTTCGCTCTCGCTTCGGGTAAACAGTTCACAGCACTCCCGAAGAGCTCCGTTCGCCACGTTTTCAGCGTGTCTCCAAGCAACGCTGGTGCTTCTACTGCTGCGTCATCTGCGGTATCAAACGTTGTTGGAGCCCGTGTTGTGAAGAACGTGAACTTCGGTCATTTGCTGTTACTTCGTCTCGCATCTGGCAGCTTTGAAGTCGTCAATGTTAGCGCCGCGTCTAGTGAACTACTCAAGGGGGTACTCGCAGACAGCAGTAACTCGAGTCCTGAGAATATCCAGAATACATTACCCGATACGTTAGCGTCGATGGCGTCGTCGAAGTCGCGTGCTTCTATAGCTGCATCCAGTGACAACTCAGGTGACGGCGGGATCAGACCATTTGGAGATATTGTTGAGGAAAAACTGGAAGCTCTGAGCGCACGTGGAACGAGAGTCACTGGCAACACTCTGATGCACGAGGTAGATGACGCTGTTCTTGCCTTTGTGCTGGAAAGAGTGAAGATTTTGTATGAGGACGTGGAGTACGTCGACGAGATGGATCAGCTCATGCGCGATCGTCTTCAATTGCATGCTACGATGATCAAGACACAGGCTGAAAAGGTGGTAGAGGCACAGAAGAACGCGAACGATGTCTCTGCGTCGATGAAGAACCTGCAGGAGAAGTTGGAGCGCGCGCTGGCGGTGCAGCAGAACCTGAGCAAGCGCGCCGCAGCAGTTCTACAGGCCGTGAAAGAGAACCAACCACATTTATCTCGTGCTGAGTGCGAGTTCAAGAGTGAACTCGAGCTGATGGCTGTGGAGGTACGCCGCATGAAGCCTCGAGTAGCGGAGTTGACCGTGCAGGGCCAGCGCGCGGTGCGGTCCCTCGAGAACGCAGCACTCTCGGCATCCTCCTCTCGTCGATATTGGAGTCCTATTAGCGCTATAGGTGGCTCGTCGGTGCTGTCGAACGACAAGAAGAAAATGTGCTATGATGTCCTGCGCGCTGAAACGCAGCTGATCGACGATACGAAGGTACTACTGGAAGATCTGAGTGCGAACCTGCAGCAGTTGAAGGAGTAAGGCGCGTAGAAAATCGTCGAGATAGCAAGCCGTCTCGAGCACTTTCCAAAACATTTGCCTATTCTCGATTCTTTGGACTCTTTCATAAAGGATGATGAGTCGTGTAGCAAGCGTATACTTTATGCCTGCGCAGCGAACCTGAAGGGCGACAGCAACAGCAACAGCAGCAACGTTAGCGTAGCTAGGCGCTTTTTTGTTCAGTAGTTTGATGCAAGACCGGCGCGGGCCCAGCTCGCGAGTGCTGCTTGTTGTGTGTGCCGCCTCTCGTGCGCCGGTCGGTCCTAAGAAGAACCGCCTTCACCATCATTACATCACGAGTTGATAAGTTGCGTTTGCTCTAGCGTCTTGCTCCCCGATACAATCTGTGCCACGTCGGCCGAGCAGGAGGAGGCCATAGCGCGGAATGCATTGGCTGGCGATTGCCTCGCATAGCAATCAACCCTAGTTGTATCCCTTCCTGCAGCACACTGGCGCGTCTTTGGAGCGTTCCAGTCTTCGGGTCTTGGCCATTTTTCTCAACCTTCGCTAGGCTGCCTTGCACTGCACTGATAGTCGTCACCCCCGCCTCATCCGAGAGCTTAAAGCTCCAAGTTGCTAAGCACTGCTTAGTAAGCAGTGACTGCAGCAATGCAGATTGTAGTGTCGGGAGTGAGGTCTTATTTTGAAGGTCGAAGTGCTAAAGCTTTTAGGCCCGACCTGATTTCTAAAATCAGCTTTTTTTAGGACGTCATCAGAACATACAGGCCGTCACTGAATCCAGCCAGCACCCACGCATTTTCGGCGGTCATCCAAGCATTCGTTGCTGCCGCGCGTCGTGTTTCGCGAAAACCGCTTTGCACACCTTGAAGTTTTGCATGTTCAACTGGACTGGAATTCCATTCGCATTGCCCAGCCTAAGGCTGAGCCTTGACTGGTTTGCCTCCAGCCTCCAAAGAGATTCAAGCCCTGCTGCCAGTCACAGGCTGCCTCAGCGCATGCGTGGTTGAGGCAATCCCACAATCCACGTCGTGCGTCGGAGCTGCTGCACGCCGGCCTATTACAGCTTCAACAGCGCCGCCGAAACGCCTGCTTCGACGTCTACGCTCAGAGGACTTGCTTCGCTAAAAACCGTGGCTCCTGTTACATACATGTAGGAAGGGCTTTTCACACCGCAGCACCGCGCGGTAATAGCTTGCCGTTGGCGTTGCCCCCATACCCGTCGCGGCACTGCGGCGGTGAGGGTGCGTTCAGTGCCAGTCAGTGGCGGCGCCGCAGCTCTCCGCTATGCGATGCCGGGACCGGAAGCACACAAGTCGAGGCAGAGCCGAGGCAGCCAGTCTTTCTTTCCCCAGTGAGTTTTACGCGCCCCGTCGCTCCTTCAACTGACCGACTGTTTCGCGATCAAGCCAGCGGTCGCCACTCGCTGCTCCAGGCAGTTCAAGCCTCAGTCAAGAAATTCCCACGTCGAATGGAAAGCAGTCGGAGCACAGCCACACGCCCCGAGTCCTGCCCCCGCCCCCGCTTTCCTCTTCGTTCGGAAGCCTCTTTCCGCGGTCTACCAGTGTCCGCTCCGTTCGAGCGTATCTGGGATTAAGCGCATTCGCTTTATCTGTTCGTCCAAGCCACCTCCAAGTTCCTCTCACACACACACATTCCAACAACCGTCGTCATGAAACGTAACTTCGGATCACTTAACCTCGCGGCGTTGGACCTGAATAGCCCATTCCAGTCGGGCGCCGACAGCACCGAGTGCAGCCTTGCAGACCGGTTCTCGGCGTTGGACCCCAGCGCAGAGGACTGCAGCATGGACGCCAGCGGCTCCGAATACAGCAGCGATGAGAATGTAGGCTTCCCTCTGGAGCGTATGGATACGCTGCATGGAGACGTGCACTCGGCGTCGCAGTCGCTCCGTGACGATGTCCTGCAAGACATGGATCAGGACATGGAGGACGTCATGCCCGAACTCACACTGCCCACTCAAAGCCAGTCGGCCAGCCGGTCACGCAGCGAGAACGGTGACGCGAGGGTAAGCCGGCTACATTCATCGATGTCCGAGATTCCGCAGCACCCCCAGGACCAGCACCACGTGGAGCTGAACGCATTGAGGTGTCTGAGTCTCAAGATGATGCTGTCCAACTTGTCCACGTCCAGCAATAACAACAACAACAACAACAACAACAGTACCAACGCCTCCGTTGTGTCCAACAAGCCTAGCTACTCATATCCTGGCGTAAACGACCGCGCCAAGACGGCACTGCTGCCAATCCGCCAGCCGTCGCTGCAGAGCGTCTAGATATCCACTACTACACCATGGCCTTTAAGGCCTTTCCTTAATTTACCCTAACGTAATAGTACGCATTATTGTATTGGAAGGTGGCGCCCCCGACGCGAGCACCAGGAGCGGCATTCTCACTGAGAATCTCACGATGCGGTTCAGTCCGCCAGCACTGGAGTTTTGGCCGGGCTTTGGCCATGATGTGAAGATGGACATTGCGCGTCCGCCGATTGCCGCGTCACATATTTCGCGGTACAAATTAGTGTTAATTCGTGGCGATTTAGGGGCCTGTTAGAGTGAAGGTCATTTGGTTGCCTTTTATTGCACCAGCCGTGAAACGCTTTTTACTACTAAGTAGTAATAATAGCCGCACGGCTAGTGCAACCAAGGCTATTCCAACCCGTGTGCAATAGGTTGTGGACAAAAGGTGATAGCAGTCTTCGCCTTCGCTCGACTTGCATGCTTTGGTAAGGAATGAGAGCCTACCTAAGCGCTCGGTTTGAAAACTCTTTCGTGGCCGCGGTGACGATCACGATCAGGCTGCTTCGTCCACATGGGACGCTACATGTCATAGCCAAGCTAGAGCTTAGCCTGCATCACATGCTGCTGCTAATGAAAACAAGACCTGCAGTCCTTTGAGCGTAGACGTCGAAGCAGGCGTTTCGGCGGCGCTGTTGAAGCTGTAATAGGCCGGCGTACAGCAGCTCCGACGCACGACGTGGATTGTGGGATTGCCTCAACCACGCATGCGCTGAGGCAGCCTGTGACTGGCAGCAGGGCTTGAATCTCTTTGGAGGCTGGAGGCAAGCCAGTCAAGGCTCAGCCTTAGGCTGGGCAATGCGAATGGAATTCCAGTCCAGTTGAACATGCAAAACTTCAAGGTGTGCAAAGCGGTTTTCGCGAAACACGACGCGCGGCAGCAACGAATGCATGGATGACCGCCGAAAATGCGTGGGTGCTGGCTGGATTCAGTGACGGCCTGTATGTTCTGATGACGTCCTAAAAAAAGCTGATTTTAGAAATCAGGTCGGGCCTAAAAGCTTTAGCACTTCAACCTTCAAAATAAGACCTCACTCCCGACACTACAATCTGCATTGCTGCAGTCACTGCTTACTAAGCAGTGCTTAGCAACTTGGAGCTTTAAGCTCTCGGATGAGGCGGGGGTGACGACTATCAGTGCAGTGCAAGCCTGCCGGCAGCCTAGCGAAGGTTGAGAAAAATGGCCAAGACCCGAAGACTGGAACGCTCCAAAGACGCGCCAGTGTGCTGCAGGAAGGGATACAACTAGGGTTGATTGCTATGCGAGGCAATCGCCAGCCAATGCATTCCGCGCTATGGCCTCCTCCTGCTCGGCCGACGTGGCACAGATTGTATCGGGGAGCAAGACGCTAGAGCAAACGCAACTTATCAACTCGTGATGTAATGATGGTGAAGGCGGTTCTTCTTAGGACCGACCGGCGCACGAGAGGCGGCACACACAACAAGCAGCACTCGCGAGCTGGGCCCGCGCCGGTCTTGCATCAAACTACTGGACAAAAAGGCGCCTAGCTACGCTAACGTTGCTGCTGCTGTTGTTGCTGCTGCTGTTGCAGTTGCTGCTGGTGGTATTTCACGACGGCATCAACGTCGGCTCGCAGCCTCTCCAGGTTTGCTGCGCAGACACAATACACGAAGCATAACACAGGTCATTAGTCAAACAATGCAGGGTCACGTCAACGCCAACCAGACAGGTAGGAGCATGCATGGTCAAGGCGATAGATCAGACCGCCCGTCTATCGGTCAACTGGTCATCCAATCCGACCAGCCGGCAGACACTCCAAGCACCAAGCAGCAGCCTACTTCCTGGAAGCTAGAAGAGAAAAAATACGTACCAGGAGCCGTGAAGCGGAAGCGGGTCTGGAACAGCGTGTGGCACAGGCAGCTGCAAGATTCACACCCGCCACAGTGGGCGCAGCGATTCGACGGCACGCATCGGCACTTGAAGTAGCTGCGAACCGACTGGTAGCGGCGCGTGGCTGGCAAGATTCCTGTGTGGCCCTCCGAACTCAACACCTTGTCGTAATATGAAGAGATCGCGCGCGGTTTAAAGTGGTGCTGCTCTGGCTGCGAGTGGCAGCGGAGGCAGATACGGAAAATCGGGAACGACATGTTGGGTCGGCACCGGCGAGAATACACGGCACAACCCAGGCACTGCTTGTACAGATTAGTGATCTCCCGCTCGCAGATTCCGCACGAATAATTCTCTGCATTATCCGCCGGTGGGTCACGCAGATCAGCATCAACCGTGCGCCACATGCTCTCATCGTCAAACACCTTGCGGAACTCGTCACTGTCGTCAGTGCTTGATAAACCCAGCTCGTAAGCCTCTTCGACGATGGCGTCCAGACAGGGCAGTATTGATTCCAGGAAGAGAACCATCTGAGCTTGGCGCTGCGCAACTACACCTCGATCGATGGGCGCAGGCGCCGATGTAAACGACAACATTTGGGACGTGCGCGGACGCCCCGATGCTAGCGCTGAGCGTAAGAACTGACCCGTTCGCACAATTGCTACGCCACACTACATAAATTACCATGAGCTTTCGTTAGACTTGTGAGAACTATTCCAACAACGACACACGCATTACGTACCTTGGCAGCCTCGACAATTGCACGGCGAGGGTCGAATACCCATCCGTCAGGGCACATACTAGCATTTTTCATGGCGAACTAACAGAAACAAGAACCACAATACGTTAGACACAAACGCAATGAACAAGTGCCAAAACGCTCGACAGCAGACGAACCCAGCATTCCGTGGAGATACCACGTTGCGAAACACCCTGGTAAACCCACTCCCATGAAAGGAATACACACGGGGCGTTGATAGAGCCATTAACGCTGTCTTTCTCTACGACACGCCAGAAATGTTGGCGGCCCTACCGAGATCCCAATAAAAGCAACACAATGATGTTAGTTCATATCGTAAAAACTATGCATTGCAAGCAGAAATGCATCCAAAAGGACCTCAAAGTTTTAAGGAACGCACCTTGTTGACATGAACAAACTCTCCATCTTGCAATAGCACTGTCGAGAACGCAAAGCCCGCAGATCTACAAGCAAGTAGTTGCACACAGCACCGTTAAAATCGCCATCTCCCATGGAATGTCAACGAATGGGTATACCTGAGGGCGCGAAGATGGGCATCTAAAAGCATAGTCTTCCGTTCTGCATCGTAGCCGGCTCGCTGTAGAATGAGGTCGAAATCTGCCTTGTACTGTGGCTCGAAACGCTCAAAGATAACCAGCTCCAGCGATCCCACGAGCACCTATTAATCGCGCAAAATACATGAATGCATCAGTACCCACTTAGTACAAATCGCTCGATCTGCCGTTCCCATACTAACCTGGTACGCGGTATCAGTCGTGCCGTTGCCTGGGTCAGCCAGCGAACCTCGGGCGCCAGGAAAGTTGAAATGCAGACGTGGACTGGAAAACTTCTCGTGCCAGCTACTCTGAGGAAGATACTGCAGCAGGCAGTGGATACCACCGGCGAAAACGTCCCACTGAAATCCCTTGATGAGATCGTTGTACAGCTGGAGAAGTCACAAGAGCACATACAAAATATTAATGAGACCGCAAACTCAGCCGTACAAAAAATACAGATAAACATACCTGCGCGCAGTACTTGGCAAGCACCAAATTATTCAGCGCAATAATGTTCTCTGACGCCACAATAGTAATTGTCTTTTTCGTGACGTGATCCTCCAGCACAACCACGTCCTTGCCGGGAACGTTCGATAAATACTTCTCCAGATACGAGTTGAAGGATGCCATCGATAATTGCAGCTCCCCGACATAGGCCAACTCTGGCATATCCGTCTCGGTATTTCGCTTGAATTGGAAGTGGTCGAACGCAAAGTGTGTGTCGTTACCGCAGCATTCGAGAATGAAAGGCCACGCCCAAATGTACTGGTTGAGCTCACTACTCATGCCCTTGACAACCAAGCTCACATCTGGCGACTCGAAGCACCGGAAAAAGAAATCGATTTCGTTCTGGTACAGCTTGGTGGCCTTCTCAGCGAATACTGGGGAAAGATCAATCCGGAATACGTGATTAGCATCGTCCGAGTGACAGCTGAATCGCTCATAGATCTCCGCCGGGAATGCAGATGGGTTACGCCAAGGAATATTAGGCGTGTGGCGGCGAATGGGGAGTTGAGACGGCGGTTGAGCTGGAAACTGTCCTTGAGGACCGTAATTGTTCGAGGGAGCGCCGTTGAAATTTGGCGGCGGGCCGTTTCTGGTGCCTGGCGGTAGATCACCACGTTGCGAATCGTTAAACGGAACCGAAGGTGGTGCCTGACCAGCTGGTGCTCCACGATACTGTGGTTCAAAGTCACGTTGAAGCGGTGGTCGCTCATCCTGCATTGGCTGCTGTGGTGGTGGCATACCTGGTGGCATTCTTTGATTCGGCCCCGCCTGTGTCGGCGGCATTTGCCCTGACGAGCGGCCGTCAAAGTATGGTTGCACCACTTGGAGCGATCGTGGGTCTTCCGGCACTTGTCGAGCGCCTGCAATCGGATATTGAGGCGACGAAAATCCGTGACGAGGTCGAGCTCCGTCAGCACCTGGTTGGTCGGGGGCAGGCATTGACGAGTAGTCACCGCGGGGCTGACGCGACATCTGCATTGCAGCAGACGAAGGCATATTGGGTGGAGGTGCATTGCGGAAGTGACTGTCCTGCTCCGTGTCGAATCCTCGCAGTGGTCGGCGAGAAGCGGGAGACGCAGTACGTGACGACGGCTGCAAATTCCTCTCGTCATCTTCGTGGAGCGGCGTGTTGCTGTTACTATTACTACCATGCGCTGTCATAGCATCCGGTCGCTGCTCAGTGGGGTACGACATGCCAGTCGTACTCCGAGGAGTGTACGGGTCCGCATCGTTGGACGTCGGGGTGCCTTCTTCACGCTCCCCATCAATCGATGACAGGCGAGCGTGGCGGTGGCTGACTTCATCGTCAGTGTCCTCCTGCAACGGACGCTTCATTCCAACGCCACGTCCCCTGCCTCGACCTCTTCCTCGGCCGCGTCCCCTGCCTCTTCCACGGCCGCGACCGCGACCACGTCCACTGGTGCCCGCTACTTCTTGCAACGGAAGCTGTCGTCGCACTTGCAGTCTGTCAGACTTCTCCTGTAGCACGCTCTGAATCTGCGTGGCGAGTCGGGGGTAGTCACCGTGTCTAAAAACGGGGGCCTTGGACTGCTGCTGCTTGTACGTGGCGTAACACGAGTGGCGGCAGAAGAGGTTTCCCTCCTCAGGTGGTTGCGGCAGGTTGGCGCAGTGCGCGTGGAAGTGACTGCCGCAGTGCTTGCAGCGCACGAGGCGGATGGCCGAGGTGGCTTCCAGACCGCATAGAACGCAGCGTAACTCTACCGTTGGACCAGGAGGCGGAGCTTGATCAACACTCTTGACGTTCTCTACGGGGTCGCGCATCGGCGTGTTGCTGTCACTCCTGGGCGTCAGTTGGCGAGAAGAGGGCGTGGGCGTCTCGCCCCCCGTCGTCGGCGCGTCCTGCGTGCGGGTGGCCATGCTGTAGCAACTGTTGGCGTTGGTTGGTTTTGGATCTCTTGCTCTTCCCGCTTGCTACGATGGGGCCACAACCAGCTCGGAGACGTGCCGCTGCGGCACTAGCAGGAGACGGAAGGTGGGTCGCTGACCGGCGTCTAGGGTGTGCGAAGGCAGCGGCAGCAAGGAGCCGAGAGCTCGTTGACGCGCGTCTGTTACTTTTTACACTGTGGGGAGAGGAAGCGGGAAACTCAAGACGGAGGTCGCACTAAGTGCGGATCAGGAGTGATGGTGAGAACGATGTACAATACATCAGCTAGAAATGTATCCAAGTGGGGACGGGAAGAGAAGCAGATCAGCTTTGGCAGTTTTTCGTATGACGGCGGCAATGGAAACGCCGGCTGCCGATACAGCGTCGCCCCCTCCTGCACCAGTGCGCTGCAAGCTTAACATAACGGTTGCAGAGGACGGAGTGGAGGTCAACGAGCTGCCGACAGTCTATGATTTAATGCAGGAAGTAGCGCGGCTGCAACAAGCAGTGCGAGACATTGGCGACGATGACCCGAGCATTTTCGCGGACGACTACGCAGTTTGCGACTCCTACTCGGCTGAGCGCACGCCTCCACGCTACAGACAGAAAATCCGCACGGCCAGTGGTGGCTCTGACAGCTTGAAGTCCGGCATTTACTCTGGCCGGAAGATCGCTACCAACGTGGGCAACATGTCGCCTTACAAAAATGTCGGCGCCATGGCGCGTGGTGAATTCGACAGCTCTGTACTGAAGACGCCGCCACCGAAGCGTCGTGAAGGCTTGACGCCTGCTGCTTCTCGCACAGTGCCACGCCCCACTCGTGTGGCAGCTCTGACACGAGAGAACATCTCGCTGTTGCCGAAGCCCAGGGCGCAGAACTTTACTGGTTCCGTGTGCGGCTCGCAGAAGTCGCGCACAAGCATTCGCACAGACGGCGGCGCTGTGTTCTCACGATTATATCAGCCAGATTTCTACAAGAACCGCGACGAAAAGTTCAAGAGCATACGCGATCGACGCGAGAGTCTCGATTGCTCATTCACGCCACGAATCAACCGACGTGACTCGATCTCGTCGCGAGACTCGATCGGCTCGGGCTCGCAGGCGTCGATGACATCTGCCAAGACGGACGTCGTGAACGTATCCAGTCGCCTATACGACCCGGACTACGTGCGCAAGCGCAACGCACGACTGCAGCGCATGAGGCAAGAGCGTGAGATGCGTGAATGCACGTTCACGCCCGCCATTAACGCCAACGCGAGCGCTACACCCCGCAAGAAACTGTAGCCATTCAACCAAGTGTAGCCATGTCGAGGAAATTAGCCATCTCAGATTCACATGTCAACGAGATGAGACTGTAGTGTGCGTCACACAGCAAATTCATACAGTAAATACAGTGGACGCCTATTGTACTCCTGTGATCGCGATGCCGCCGAGGAAGAAGCCCTTTAGCGGGAAGGCCAAGAAGCAGCAGGTACAGGTGCATTATCTGTCGAGTCAAAGCGATTATCGAACTCAGCTATGCCGCAACTGTAGCTTCGCGACAAACGAGCCAAGAAGCGAGACGCGCATGGTGCGGACGACGAAAATGCTAGCGAGACGGAGGTAACGACACGACCTGCACCGCAACCGGTAGGCTATGTACTTGATCATTCCACCTTGTTGGTGCTTAACTGTGAATCGTTGTGCGATGTAGATTTTTTCCGGTCGTGATGACCGCCGTACGATCTTCCAGATGGAATCCAAGGCTGCTATCGAGGCCAGAAAGAAGGACGCGACGCGAGAGCTCGTGTATGCAGAAGATCGTGGCAACGCGCAGTCAATCTACGCATACGATATCCAAGATCCAGCTAATCAGCCGCGCATCTTAACAAAACCCAAATGGTTCCGTGATATGTCTCCGGACGAGTTGAACGAAATGGACGACCAGGCTTTCAAGGAGTGGGTAGAATACCTCGAACAGGAGGGAATGGATCGCGAGGACGGTGCACAACTCAATCTGTACGAGAGGAACGTGGAAGTCTGGCGGCAGCTGTGGCGCGTAATCGAGCGCTCATCTGTGCTCGTGCATCTCGCCGACGCTCGCTGTCCATTACTGCACATCAGCGACCAATTAATGACGCACATTCGTACGCAATTCCCGTGGAAGCGCGTGGTGCTAGTGCTCACAAAGACCGATTTGGTGGAGAAAGACCGCGTCCAGAAGTGGTCGAGCTATCTGCAGACACGCTATGGACACGATATTCCTGTTCTAGCCTACAGTCGCGACGAAGTGGACGAGAGCAACACAACCCTGATGCGAACAATTGGTCAAGTTAGCACTGGTATGGATCACCACAATCTGGATGATGACTCGATGACAGAAACCAAACACAAGGACACGCTTACGATCGGATTTGTCGGAGAGCCGAATGTTGGCAAGAGCTCGCTGCTCAACAGCCTCTTTGATCGCAAGCTCGTGAGCGTCTCAGCCACTCCCGGTCGCACGAAGCACTTGCAAACACACTACTTTGAGCGCGTGGAAATGTTGGAGCGCAGCGACGGCGTATTCTCACGAGTGCTCGTGTGCGACTGTCCGGGCGTCGTGTTCCCGCGCTTCAACGTGCCGGTGCTGCTACAGATCTTATTCGGTAGCTTTCCAATCGCTCAGACGCGCGAGCCATTTAGCGCCGTGCGGTTCATTGCCGAAAACTGCGTGCCGCATCTGCATGAGGTGTATAAGCTGAAGCCTATGGAGGAAGACGATGACGAGTGGTGCCCCTACACACTGTGCGAGTCCTACGCGCAGCTTCGCGGCTTTCGAGTTAAAGGTGGTAAGCTGGACGTGCACCGCGCCGCCAATACACTGCTGCGAGACACGCTTAACGGCAAGAAGGTGGTGTTGTCCTTCCCCCCACCAGCAGCTACGTAGCTGGTGCCGCCGCTTCAACTATCGCAATAATCAAACGAAAAACTGGAAGAATGAATGCTTTATCTGCGTCTTTGTAAGGGTATCTTTTCCTTGATGTGGTCCACATTTTTGTCGACTGGTGTGGCTGATGCTCACTTCGAAATTGTAGCAATCACACTCAAACAGAGCTTCACTCATTGTTGTCAATGCTGTCGGGAAAGGTGCTTTGTCGCGGCCTGCAGCGCGCGTTGAGGGCGCCGCAACAGATGCGTAGCCTCGCAGTCGCCGTTGAGAAGGTGGACGACGACATCCCGGAGGCCTCGTGCCGCCCAGAAGCCAAAGGACGTAGGTTTTGGAATTAAACGGCAGTGCTGCGGGGGCTTATGGGCTGTGCTGACTGTTGTGACTGCTACAGCGGATTGCTGGAAGTGCCACCACGCGACGGACTGCTGCTCCTTCTTTTGCAAATCGTGCAATGCCATCCAGCCCATCGACAAGGGCTGCCACTGCGACTACTTTGAGATGTTCAAAGTGTACGTTCGATAGTCTTTAGACTTTGACCAATTTGTGTCCAATTCGTAGCTAATGGCGACGATTGTTTTGTTGCGTTACACCTTTAGGCCCAAGAATTTTAACCTGGAGCAGCGCAGCATCGAGAAAACGTACTGGAACTTACAGAAGCGTCTGCATCCAGACTTGTACGGATCCAAGTCAGAGGTGCGACCAAGTCCTCAGATACGAAGTACAATACGAAGACTAACGCTACGGCCATTGCTGTTCCGTGCGGAATGCAGTTTGAGAAGGAGCTTTCTGCTGTGAATGCCGCTGTCATTAATGATGCATACAAAATGCTGAAGACGCCCAACACGCGTGTTAAATACTTGGTGCGTGAGAGATAAATAGTACTTGCAGAAGAAGTATTTGCTATTTGTCATGATGACCTAACGCTGGTATTTCTGTTATTATAGCTGGCATTGCATGGGATCGATGCACTCGGTGAGACTGCAAGCACTGCTGTGGATCCCGAACTGCTGATGCAGACGATGGAGATCCGGTACATATAATCCGTAACGTTTGCTTTGCGTAGCGCTGTCTGTCCGCTGACATTACTATGTGTGTGTAGAGAACGCATCGCCGAAGCACCGGATGTGAACGCGCTGCACGAGATTCGTAAGGAGATCTCGGAGCACATTGACTCCATCATTAACAAGCTTGGGGAAGTATACGACAAGGATCAGGACCTCGAATCAACGAAGCAATACGCAGTCGAGCTCCAGTACATGGTCAAGTGCGCAGAAGAGATCGACCTAAGGGAAGAAAAGCTGGACGAATATTAGAAAGTGTCAATAACTGTCCAGCGCTGTTGTCATGTCAGGTATATTTTCCCAGCGCCAGTTCTGTTGTGTGGTACTTGAAGTAATATTGCAACAGAATTGCGGTGTTCACGCTTTTCGGATTGGAGTACATGTGCGTGTGCTGCTACAGTACTGTTGAATCGTCCGTGAATCTAAAGAAAAGGCAACTAAACTTGCCTGAGCCCAACTGATCCGCTCTGACCGCGTCTCTACCGCCTACCACCACGCTGGCGAACACTGAGCTCGAGTACTGTGTCGTTTATGAAATTGTAGTGCGCGCATGTGAGGGCATCCTTGACGAAACCCATCGAGAACTTGAGCTGCTGCTTGTTCACCGGCATGTTCAAATCGGCCTGCAAAAGCAACACAATGGTTACACACTCAACGCAAAAAAAGCAATCACTCCCAAGTTGGCTTACCATCAGCTTCTGCTTGAGTGTCCGCATGTTATCCTTCACGTCTAGCTCCACCGTCAGCGTCTGCCCCTCCAGCTTCCACTGAGCGTTGTCTGGATCGTTTGGAACCTTGACAACCAATCGAACCATTCCCTGTTTGCAAAGCAAACGAACACGTTAGTGTGAGCAATCCAAGTGTCAGTCGAACAAATATCAAGCAAAACCAACCGGATGTCGTGAAGCAAACTCCTTTTCCGGCATCAGTGACGACCCGCCAGTACGCTGCCTCTTTGCTGCTGGTTCAAGATCTTCGCCTGGAGGCCCCGAAACGCCAGGAGGACCGGCAGCGATGCCGGGTGGACCACTGCTCATTCCCGGCGGCATAGAGCCTAATGCTTGCATGTGCGGGGGAACCAAACCAGGAGAACCAGCATTCGGAGGCATCATACCAGGCACCATACCATGAGTTGGCATGGAAGCTCCCATCCCGAGCGGTACTACACCAGGCGGCATCATCATCGGAGCCGAAGCCATTGGGGCCGACATTGCTGGTGTTGGCTGAGAAAGTAGTGTACTTGTTGGCATCTGTCCAAGGTCCGTGAATTCAGTGGACATCGGAACCTGTTGACCTTGAAAAGTGTCTGAAGAAGGGACCGTTTTTTCTTCCTCGTCGGAGTCTTCCTCCATGCCGTCCTCCTGTTGTTGCTGTTGTTGCTGATGTTGTGGCTCTGCAACAGTTGGCGCTGTAGTCGCTTTCATCAAGCGCGCTTCTTCTTCAGCTGAAGACGCAAAGATATCTGCACGCTTCGTTGCAAAGCGTCGTAGGGAGTCTGCGATCGCCGATCCTGCCGCGTATGAGCTCTCCTTCTGCTTCTCTAAGTGACGCTGCGTTTCCTCGCGCCATTTCGGGTTCATCAACAGAATGCGCATATGCTCGTTGGCCTCAGCAGATGACAGAGTCTTGCCATCCACGCTCAGTAACGGTTGCTGCGCTGTCGCCGCTGTGGCTTGTGGCACGTAGTCCTCGACCACCTTAATCTCCGGCTTCGGCTCGTCGTCATCGTCTTCCTCCATGTCCATATCGTCATCCGATCCCTTCGCCTCACTTTCTCCAACAGTAGCAGAAGCACCCAAATCGTCGTCGTCATCAAAATTAATCGTCTCCACGACCACAAAGTCATGCCAGTCAATCTGCGCTAGTGCCCGACGCTCAGCATCACTCTCCGCTGCTTCCTTGTCCTTGCGTTCCTGCTCCGTTCGCTGCCACTCCATTCGGTGGACGCATCTATCCAACACCTTCATGCGCCCCATCCCCTCCTCAATCCTGTACACCCAATTGCATCAGCACAGAGCAGACGACCACATGAGTCCACATACCATAATAATCTAACACTTTACTCCACGCACCGCTTCATCTGGGCATCCTGCTTGGCGAGGACGAGTGTGTAGCTCTCAACGAGTGCCGTAAAGTAGGCAAATAGAGGGTGGGTTGGCTTTAAAAAGTCAAATTGTGGGTTGCGCTGCTCACGTGTGGCAAGACCTGACAGGAATGAGCTGCCACTTAGCGCCGTGTATTGTGCCGTAAGGTACATGATCTCCTGGTCCAGCGCGCTGAGTGTCGGGTGTTTGATGATAAATTTCTCCTCGGGCGGCGGCTCCAGTTCCTTGCCTTTAATCTTCTTGGCTACTTGTGCCGTGACATCCTGCACCGCTTTCTTCTCCACGACCACGTCGCCAGTGGTCTCCATCTCCTTGACGATCTCCTGTGCCTTCTCCTGCTGCTGCTCTGCTGCCTGTTCCTGTTCCTGTTGTTGGGACTCGGGAGCTGGAGGCAGCTCGTCCTTCTTGGCGATGAACTCGCTCACCTTGTGCTCGTAGTAGGCATGGTACGGATCCGACTCGCGCAGGAACGAGAACTTGGCCGACATGCGCTCGCCCACGATGCGGCTCTCAAACGCGCGACCATTGTTGGCTACAAACTGCGCCGTCTTGTCCACAACGGCGCGGATGTCCGGTGGAGGGTAAATAATACCCGTCACGCGGCCCTGCACCGTCGCGTCATGCTGCTCCTCCGGCTCCGCTGCCATCGTCGAGCGAGTTGCTGGCAGCAGTGACAAATTGAATCCAGTCGCGCTTAAGTTGAGATCGATACCTAAACGGAGGAAACCAATCAGAAGTCTCTTGATGTAGCCATTCTTTGATAATAATAATCTTGTTTAAACATAATACATTAATAAAAAATTAAGATGTAGTAGGATGGCAGAGCCTTTGATCAACTTGCACCTTCAAAGGCTGTTTACAGCCTCTCTCGATGTGACCATGTTGTGTCCCACAACGCGTGAACTTTTGAACGGGGACGCCTAAACCCCTGGCTCAAGTGGGTACAGTTAATACTGAAGGTGTGATACATCACCGGAATGGGGAAGTGTATTGAATCAAGCATATGCGCAATGGATGTGTGTGCAAAGGAATCTTCTTCCAAAAAAAGATTCTCGCCGTCAACGATGGCTTCGGTACTGATGCGCTAGCAGTGACTGTTGCGGCGAACTGCTTAGACGCGATCCATGGTCTCGTCCGGCACCTCGAAGGCCTTCTCACGCTCCCGGAGCTCGACGTTCACCTGGGCGGTCATGCAGCCCTGTGTGGTGGCGTACGTACACTGCGCAATGCAGTTCATGATGTCCGCGAGATCACCCAGCTCCGAGATGCAGATGGACAACAGGCTGCAGATGCAGCTGGCCAGCTGGATGCAGTTGTTGCAGCGCTACAAACAGCACAACAGCGATAGCAGTGGCACCTCGTTAGTTAGAGCTCTCTATTCTCAACAAGAAACCCAGCAGCACGTACGATAATGCGGTTGTCCCACTTGTCCGGTTGCAGACGATAGCGGTCCATGACCATCATGCGCGTGGCCGACACGGCGCAGCCATTGCAGCAGAAGGCCTACAAGAACAGTCGAACGCCAGACGCACGGAGCGTCAGTCCACTCCTTAAGCTAGAAATACACGACTTGCTGACCTCGAGACACAGGCAGCAGTTGGGGCAGCTAGATTCGCCACATCGGCCGGAACGCGCGCAGGGAACGATGCCGTCCATGTAGCCCTGACAGCACGTGTAGTTGCTCATGTCATAGTTGAGTGCCTTGCGTCGGATAATGATCTGCGCACAGCAAGGACACAAGCACGAGCCGAGGCAGCCTGCCAGCACACAAGAGGCATGTTAGCTAGACCTGATTCAACAGAGAGGTCGTCGTCGGGACGTACACAAGGGGTCAGCGCCGGGAGCCTGCATCATGCCCACGTGGAAGGCACCCGGGTTGTCCTTGCGGACATCGTCCTCAACAGGATCGCTCGAGCACAGGATGCACATGACAACAATGTAATGGAGGAGACAGGAAAGACTAGACTCGCCGCAGCAACTTCGGTACTGTTGAGAAGGAAGTGCCAGTTAGTGGTGTCGTCCCTAAAACAGCTGCTATGGGTTCACCCGTCGCATATGATCTCTGGGTATTTATATCCAGAGTTTTAGGGGCGATCGGAAAGCGTCGACCGTCCTGTCAAATAACATTTTTATGGATATATCTGTAATTATTTAAAACCTAATAGCGAATATTTATATGCTAAAATGACGCAGAAACTAATAAACTGTTTTCTTGAATGGCCAAAAGGGTGAATGTTGACCCAGTCGGCCTAGAACAACATTCAAGCAACCTTGTACGAATATGATTCAGTCACATTCACGCTACCTTATGGCTTCAACTTAGGATATAAATATCCAGAGAAGATGGACCAAAAAAAAGAAGGCAAGGTTTCAAGAAAATATGTGCAAGTGGGAGTACTAGAACGATTTCGATGCGGCCTCTAGTTGACTAACTAATCAGACTTGCTAAGCCACGGCCGGATATTGATGCTGAACGCGGGTCTGAACATAGTCTGGACGCGGTCTGACGGTTGGTCGCTCAAGGAGCATGGGTAGATCTGCGCAAACGACGTCTCAGCGCTCTTGGGAATATGCCCTTACAGCACGAAGGGTGAGTGATGGTCGCTACACGGTGGCTCCGCGTAGTTACCATTGTGAGGATGGTCTGGTAACACGGCGAAGTGCAGGAACGAAAATCTAGCAGAGAAAAAGGTCGACCGCTGCTGCGCACTGCACAAGTCGACGACTGAGCAGCAGCACCTCGACAAAACCCGAGTAGTGTATTTGTAGGAATAGCAGTAGGATGGGCTGGCGGCTCGCTAGCCAATGGTTCGTTGAAGTCCGGCTTCTGAACGCACGCAGTACGTCCTTGAGGATCTGCGTAGCAAGCGGAGCTGGGCGTGGCCGCGGCTCTTTATACCCATTGGCACTCCCACTTGGTCACCTCAGAGATCACCACGATGTCCTTAGCACCATCAAGCTGCGCAGCAGCGACGGCGCTTCGTCCTTGGCGTCGCTCCTTCTCCTCCTCCTTGCATGCATGGACTTGTAGTAGATAGCTTGCACTTCACGCTCGGCGATGATGCTTGGCTCTCACCGGACGAGCTGAGTCTTGCTGACGGTCGATGAGCAGCACCTTCACACTATCGCGACGGTGCTCAAACTTCTCCTTCGGCATTGTCTTCGTCATCGCGTCGGCGACCCTGTCGTCGGCTCCAACATGACGTGTTCGTTGCTGCTCGTCCTCCACCATCCTCCACCAGGCGGCGCACCAGGTGAAACTTGTTCAGAATGTGCTTGCTCTTGCTATGTTTGCTAGATTTGGCAGTCAGGTAGATGATAGACTTGTTGTCACCGCGTATCTCCGGCGTCGAGAACGCCCAGCGTAGCACCTCACAGAGTCCCTTTAGTCACTGTAGATCTCTGGTTCCTTCAATCATTGCAGTATACTCTGCTTCCGTTTCGCTCTGCGCGTTAATCTCTTACTTTCTGATCCGTACAAAATCGCATTGCCATTGACGAACGTCACAAACCCGCTCACACTATTTCAGTCATCAGGATCATTCGTGTAGTCAGCATCAGTGTAGCACATCAGATCAACGTTGTTCCGGGCAACAATTCTCATCACTAAACCGTAGTTGTTGGTACCAGCTAGGTAGCGTAGTACTCGTTTAGCCATAGCGTATTGTGTGTGGTTGAACAGGGTAGGTTCTTGCTGAGATGACACACAGCGTACGGGATGTCCAGCCTTCAGGCTGAGACCAAATACTGTAGTGCACCAACGAGCTCGCGGGGCGGTGTGCCATCTTGGACGGGCTTGACCACCTCAGCGCGCAGCGCCTCAGGCGTAGCAATAGTATTACATCTTTCCATGTGAAATCGCTTCAACACCTCCCAAATGTACTGCCGCTGGCAGAAGATCGCATGTCGACGCTGGCGATCGATCAGAATCTCCACGCCCAGGGGATACTTGATGTCCGAGAGTAGTAAGCTCATACTCTTCACTGAGTTGTTTAGCAACCTTAGCGCACATGTCACTTGGGCCGAGTAGCAGTAGGTCGTCGACGTACACCGTGGGCAACATGGTGACTTCTCCTCCCACTTTTCTGGCGTAGAGTCCATAGTCATAATCGAGGCGCGAATCCGATCTGAGTGAGAAACTTGCGTAATGTCTTGTTTCAAACACGCGGTGCTTGCTTCAGCCCGTACAAACTCTTCTTGAGTCTGCATATGCAGCGCGTAGAGTATTCTTCAAAGCCTGGAGGCTGCTTCATTTAGACCTCGATATCGAGATCACCGTATAAGAACGCGGCCTTGACGTCAAATTTTAAATTAGCGCATTCACGTTGCAATGCGAACACGATCACGCACCCGACCGTTTCGAACCTGATTACACGTGCGTACGTTTAACTGGAGTATGTGCCCATGCGCTGTAGAAATCCTCTGATTACCAACCTGGCCATGTATCGCTTGATCCTGCCGGTTGAGTCCCTCTTCAACGCATAAACCCACTTGCACGAGATGACACGCTTGTCATTGGCCTCTGTGCGCGGCATGAGCACCTAAGCTCCGTGCTGCTGTCGTGAGTCCATGTCGACCTGCATGATCTTTTCACTCCTTCCACTTCTTCTACTTTACTGCACGTTTATGACTGATAGGAATATGCATATCCTCAACGCGCTGCGTCGTCGCACTCGTCACTGCGTAGTCCATGAGGCGGGAGGATCGCTGTCGCTTCCGCTTCGGTCGCGAATCAGCGGCATTGGTGTTGTTTGGTGACGAGAGCTGCTTGCTGCGTGGCTCCCAACTGCTGTCGTCGTGAGCATCACGGCGGCTGTTCTTGGTCCCATTCGATCTCCACACTACTTCTGGTTCTTGGTGTTGTTCCTTTGCTTGGAAACTCCCACTGAAGCTGCTCGCTCAGCAGTCTTCTATGCGTCTTCTCGTGTTCGCCCTGGGCCACCGCTCTGAGTCGCTGCCTCAGCTTCAAGTTCTTCGACTTGGTCCTGACTCTCATCAGCAATGGCTCGCTTTGCCATCTGCGCTGCTAGCTTCGCAGCAAGCTCTACTCGTAACTGAAGGTACGTCTGCATCCTAGTCCGGATCGGCACGATCAGGATCTCAGCAGGTAAGCTGTAGTCTCCATACTCGTAGGCGCAAAGTAGGAACTACTCGACGAACACAGTGTGCACAATGTGGTGTAGCGATTTCCAAGTAATCGCTGAAGTGGCTACATTCAAGTTGCTCAAGCCACGAACGCTTGGTCAAGCGACAGGTGGTGACCATGGTGCAAGATGGTCAATGATACGTCACTACCGAATGCTCGTCGGGTCCGACTATGACCAAGAAATCACTCAAGTCGGGTGGTCCGTATCGGTGACGCTGGATTCACACTCAGCGGTCCAGAACCGACGGACTACGGTACTACGACTCGGTGACTGTTGGAGCGACTCTTCGGTGGGTGCGACTAGCAGTTGAACGCTCGGCGGAGACCTGAGAAGGCACAAGGACAGTT